ATATAAACACTTGGTTTGCTCCTGAGTTACGTACGTCACCACTTGATGGAGCTCTATTACAGAGGATCTTTGTTAAGACCATAGACTGTATAAAAGATGGACGTAGCAACCGGCCCTGAAAAATGAAGCCAACCCGGAAGTGTCAAAAACCTGCAATATCACTACGTCCGCTAGTCCTGGCTCCCAAAAGCTCTGGCTCCCATAGAAATGAATTGGAAAAGAAGTGATCACAGATCAAAAAATACCGCATTCCTACAGCTCAGGATTTTTTAAAAATTAGTTTTCATGGTCAAGTCCAGAGATCAGGTGGCAATCGGAAAATAAATCAATACTGAATTTTTAAAAAAACGTCAAAATTTTGCGGGGCAAGGGGCGTGGCTGGCTTGATTGACAGTCGGCAGCGACCATACAGATGAATCAAGCAGAAGGCGGTAAATGTGGGCGGGCAGAGAGGGCCTGCCTCTCAATCCGTCTGACCAATCGCTGCTCCTATGGCTCCGCCCCCCTCGACAATTTTTGCGACACTGGCTCCAAAAATCCAAGATGTCAACCAGGAAGTAGCAAAACCCTGGCTTCATTTTCTCAGTGCAGAAACCAACGGGTGACGTCACGGTAGCTACGTCCATCTTTTATACAGTCTATGGTTAAGACACAACATAAATCACAATGTAAAATGGCAAAAGACCGCCAGAAACATCAGTGCTAGCTTGTTTAACTGGCATTCCTAAACTGCTGCATTCTAAACTAATTGCTGCTAGGATGACTGTGATTAACCCTTGCTCATCAACCTAATAATGAAACATATCAACAAAGGTCTCACTGACAGCATATTTAATTTGTCTACTTACAGTATCCACTTTAAGACTATTGTTGACATTCTTACCTCAAGACATACAAGGTGTGAACAAAATATGTTTTGCTTTGAACTCTGCCTTGACAGTCTGACCCTGGGGTATGAATTTCTGGTGCACAACCATGTGAATGTTGAAGAAAACATTGAGCTGACATGCCTTGTTTTGGAAACTGCAGCCTTTTCCACAGCATAGCCTGCTGTTTCTTCTCTCGGTGGTAGCCACAAACCTACATCTCGTAACCACTGATGATTTTCGTCAAAGTCTGATCATCCTGGCCGCTGACTGACAGAGAAAGAAATGCGTTCTTCTCTGCTCCAGTTTGTGGTCAGTGGAGAAATCACAAATGCACACCTATCAATGGTTATATTTTAACAACTCTAAAAATAAACATTGACTGGTTCCTGAAAAAGATCATGATCTTGGTAAAATATTTAAAAAGTTATTGCAGGCTTGTATTATGAGACTAAGCCTTGATCCTTTACCTAACACCTAACACAAAAAAATGTCCTTAATCTTCACATATGCTTATGTTAGTTGTAAATGACAGATTTAATTACAAAAATTTTGTCAAAAATCCTGATGGAAAGATTTGAAAAAGGTGTAAAAAATCGAGAAACTGGAAAGAAAATTTCTGCTGGTTAGTAACTCAGAGAATGGCTTCAGGTAGTGTATCAAGTGGAGCTGTGGATTGCCTCCAGAGGAGAAGAGTGCTCTTCTTGACTGTTTAACATCATTGTACCATCTTTTAATTTCAGTAGAGCATTATATCAAGCTACCACAGTCTTTCAACCTGACATGCAGGTGCAATTCTGTCTTCAGTATGTTTCCTGGACAAGACTGGGAAGTTAAATTGAGTTCAGTTGCAGTGAAGGCTCAGCAGATGGAGTGGTAGGCTTATGGCTGTGTGGGCAGACATCTCAAATGACTCTACCACTCCCTGATGCTGAACTTCATCCTATCGGCTGATCCTTAGCTTAAGTAGCTCCTTTTCATTGTGCAACCCAATGTACTGTGCCGCAAAAGCTACAATTACAATTCCTCCAGACCCGTCATCCACACAGTGTAAGTGCTCAGTGATTTTTTTCTATGGCAGAGCTGGGCAGGTACACCTTTAGCATAACACACCCTCAGTGGCTGGCACGGTCCCGATATACCACATTGGTAGGTCCACTGACAGAATGAACCCTTGGCTTGGTAACACATGCCACTTTATGAAGTACCACCTAGTGCTGATCATTGCAGATGGAGCAGTTTTCTAGAGTACAGTCCTTTACTGTCTAACCACACTCACACTAAATGCACTCCCATTTCTCACTAATCCAAGCCGCCTGTTTTCCAGTGGCAGTCTTTACAAACTCAGACTAAGCACTGAGGTAGTAATCATGAGTAGTAAAGCAGTACAGGCAGTAAGTTTTACAGCTTTAGCTCCTCTTGCTTGTGGGTTGAACTGTCTTTTATTTAGAATTTGGATAAGCTTTAGGCTGCTAGTGAGAGGTCTGTGGATACTTGACCACTGTGAAGTCACTGCTAAGGTAAACAGTGGCTGGTTTAATGCTTTGAGCAGTGGCAGATTTATTATCTTTAAACACAGTATTAGTAGACTCTGGTTGGACTCTATTACATGTCAGGAAACCTGGATCTTTGTGCCCTTCTGTGTAGCCATTTACTAAGGTCTTGCACTGTATAAACCTGATCACTACCGCTGCAGATAATGGCCATATTTAGACAGTATCGGCAAAGCTTTCCCCAGGAGTTGAGGAGTGTGTCGATGTGGGAGCCAAATTTTAGTTTAAACTGGCCAAGACCGTCCATGTGGCTCAACATCACCACCAGTGTGTGAAATGCAGATGAAAACCCTTGGAACACATAGGCACCACCCATGTCCATTTGAGGTGATTCTAAAATGTAGTTAGAGTCTCCCTGGCTCAGCTGATCGTGCCGTTGCAGGAAAGCATGCATTACACTGTTGTACAGTGTGTATCTCTTTGCCACCTGACAACCACAGGGCAAATTAATGTAGGCCACTTACCAATGCTATAGATTCACTTTCTCTTCCAGAGCTGAATTGAGGCAGCTTAGGCTTTAGAATGCCCTATGATGCAGTCATGGACCTTTCCCTAATGTTTAGCATTGCAGGACTGTTAATGGGGAAGCTGTATCCTTGGACTATAGATTTAGGGTACATAGATTAGTATGCTGCCATCTGAGGCCAAGGCAAGGTATTGTGGTGGTTGAGCCATAGGGAACTCCAAAACATTTAGGTAGTTTCTGTAAGTACAGAAAAGGACTGTATTCTCAGGCCAGGATGGCTGAATGGCACAGGTGCACACCCTGGTGGTGGCCCAGTTTAAGCAGAGAAGCTGCCTGATGAGGCAAAGCTCAGCTGTTGGGGTGCTGAACAGGCTGCAATGTGGCTTGTACAGGCTGATGTGGAAAGTGGACAAGCTGAGGTGCAGCCTGAACAGGGCATTGTACGGGCTGCAGAGGCTAAGGTTCAAGCTAGAGAGGCTGAGTTCCAAATCAGTGGTTCTCTTTTCAGCATGACAGGTTATTCAGAAAGTAACTGATTTAGATGGTGCCATGCTCTAGACAATCAGGTTGACCTGATGAGCTTTGATGGTTGCTGACCATATGCCATTGCTGACATTATTTTTCACTGGTTGTCCAGAAAAGCCCTGCAGAGGATAGTTACAGGAGCTGAGAAGTTCGTCGGACTTTTCCTCACCTCTATCCAAGGACTTTTCCAGAGCTGCTGCAGGAGCAGGCCACTGAACATTGTCAGGGACTCCTCACACTCTCTCTTTAAACTGTTTGAACTGCTACCATCAGGCAAACATTTCTGGAGCATTAAAGGAAGAACCTCCAGAATGATCAACAGCTTCATTCCATAAGCTGTCAGAATGCTGAACTGCTGATCTGGAAATGCAAACACTTCTTTATTTAAATTGCTTTAAGTTATTGGATCCTGAAGAAACGCTCTTTCATCTTGCCTGTACTACTGTGTATGTACAGCAAAATGACAATGAACTTGATTTGATTTGATTTAAAGGGAGGGCCTACAAGACATTGCCACTCCATTGCCAGGAGTGTAAAGAATGCTTGAACATCTAGAAAGATGTGACACATAAACCCTTGTGAGGATAAGGTATAAGTTGCAATGTACACAGCTGTCTGCTGCTCTCCCAGTTGCCATGCTATTTCCTTGAGATAAGAATTGGGTGAGAATCAAGCCCAGGCTACAGTAGTGGGGATTTCTCGTACTAGTACGTGAGATACCTGCTCAAGCAGGTGTGTTACCAGGCTGTCCATCATTAAATTCCTCCATAGTATAGTGCAGTTTTGCATGATTTGGCTCAACTCAATAATTGAAAACAATAGCTTCTGTGACTATAGTCTGGCTGTGCACAAGTGGCCTAATTTTTCTAACACAGGAAACACATGTTAGTCTAATACAGCAACTTCTCTCCTTCGGCTTAAGTGTTTTATTTTATTTTTTTTAACATGTAAGGGTTGGCAATTTTGGGAACTTAATAGGGCATATCAGTAAATCAATTAAATATTACAGTCAGGTAACCACAAAAAGTCAGAGCATGAATTCTAATAGCACCTTAACATCTCTGCCGTCAACAAATCAAAGGTCATATGACCAGGCTAAGCTGTCAAGAGTTACTTCAGCATGCTGCTGACTTTAATGATTTCTTGCACCATTCTTAACACTGTGACAGACACAGGCTATCTCAATTTAGAAAACACAGTCCCGACAACACTTACTATATACCACCTGCTCAGCATCAGAGTGGCCTATTTCACAAATGAAGAGCAAATTATAATATTAGAGAAAGACAATTTTAAATACATATTATATAATTAAAGTACCACAGCTACAGTAGCTAAAACAGGAGGAAAAGCTGCAAAAATTTTGGTAAGCCTGATGTTACCTTAGTTATCTCAAATCTTGCTCATAGTACAGACCTCTGGTGACAGTCACAATACTTCTGGACATTTCTCTTGTATTTGTCCTTTTTTGCTACTCATATTTTCTTCCTTTCTCTCTGCCACTTTCTTTCACCAGCAACCTTTCCTCCCTGATGATGGGATCGTAAATCTTTTCTTTTAAACTACTGAATAAACCAGAACCAGACTGCCATGAATCCGCAGGAGATGGAACCTGGCCAGAAAGTGATGGAGGAGACTGATGTTCCTCCTCGTAGTCAACACAACAGCCACAATAGCCGGTCCCGTAACCACAGCAACCAGGAAAAACGCTACAGACGCTGTGAGACTTCAGCTGGAGGAAGTGCGGGTGGCAGAACCAGGGTGCCACAGATGCGCAAGCCACAGGATGAGCAGGTGACAGAGCTTCAACATGAAGCTCAGTCTTCTCAACCACAGCAAATTCAGCCCATTCCTCGACCTGCGGTGACACGTTATCGCAGACAGGGGGACAGCGAGGCTCGCATCAGAGCCCAGCAGCAGAGGCACAGACAGAGGCAGCAGAGAGAGGCAGAGAGAGCACAACACGAAAAGCAGCACCATGCAGAGATGACCCAGGACGATGAACGAGAAAGAGACGATTCAGTGCTGGCCCGCTCAGCAAGTACTGAGAGTGGTTTCCACACCCATACTGACCGGGCAGAGGGAGACGACGGTCTGGTGATGATGTCTCTGGAGCCTGAGGGGCAGCCAGAGGTGGAAAATGAGGCAGGCAGCTACAGCCTACAACTACAGCCTGAGGCCGAGGGGTACACTGAAAGTGAGACGGAACAGCAACATCTCCATTCATGTTCTAACTATCCTCAGCTCCCACCCCTTCCACGTGAACCCTTGCCTAATATCCAAAATCTCCATAGAGACGATGAAGCAGAGGAGATACTGAATGCTGGATACTCCAACTATGTCTATACCCAGCCCCTCAGCCACTCTGGGGAAAGGCCCAATGCCTCAGCTGATCAGAACTTGGAAAGTTTAGACGCCTATTCTGAGCCATATGACATTTATTCACTCTCAGAGCATGTTTACGAAGAAATCTGTGATGCTCCAACAATAGTTTCATCTGATGCAGGTCGGACAAATGATACAGGGTCTCCCAAACAAGCAAGGGCTGGGTTTCAGCTGTTGCAGGGCCCAGTTGAAGGTAGAGATTATCATCAGCAGGAAGCGGTGGGCTCCCGTCTGCACCACTATGATGAACGGTCAGATGGTGAGTCGGACAGCCCGGAAAAGGAGGCTGAGTTTGCCCCGTATCCACGCGCTGACAGCTGTGACCAAGAGGAGGATATTGACTGCATCATTACTGAGGTAAAAGAAAGCCTAAGCTCTCAAAGTCTCGATCATGCCGCAGAAGACACCATAAAGGAGGAAAAGGAGCTACCGCAGCAAGAAGAAAAGCCCCAACCTCAGACCCAAACCACCACTGACAAAATCCATAATGATGCCAATCAAGAGAAAAAAGATGGACAGCAGGCTGTGAGTCCTTCAGAGGAGCCTGTAGCTGTGAGGAACAGTCAGGAGAAGAGGGATGCTATATCTCTGGCCATTAAAGACATCAAGGAGGCCATAGAGGAAGTAAAGACCAGAACAGTGAGATCTCCTTATACACCTGATGAACCAAAGGAGCCCATTTGGGTAATGAGGCAGGACTTGAGCCCCACTGCTGAATGTGACCTCCAACCATCACTTGGAGGTGATGTAAGTACAGCAGTTCTGACTATTATTGATCAAGTTGTATTGGGATTATGTGTATTTGAATAGGAATGTGTTGGTTTACTTCACTAATGGCCAGGTCAGCCAAAATACCTTGACTGGTCTCCTATTTGGTAACACATCTTAAAGTCTATTTATTATTTCAACAACATCCCTCACAGCCAGCGTCAGGATATAAACAACAATTCAGTTCAATTCGATTTGATTTTTTTTTTTTTTATACCACCATCTTCATCATTCCATACCTGGGAGCTGGGAGCTGATTCAAAAGATGAGGAGCCGGATAGCTGAAGGCTCTGCCCCTCTTTTTAATTTTCAAAACTCTAGGAACCACAAGTTAGTCTTTAAGATAGACTGGAGCGTTGTCATTTAGGGCTTTGTATGTAAATTTTGTTTGTAATTGTATATGGTGCCAATATGAATCGAGTCTATTATGTAATAGTAGCTCCTGTTTAGAAACGTCAATATGAGGGACAGCGGAGAGAATAGAAAAGTAAATTATTTAGCAAATTTGCAATTTAATGCATTACTCTTGTTTGGGGTGTACAGCATTTTATGTACACTGCAAAAACAACACACAATTTGATTTTTTTCAGTATGCTGATGTGTGTGTGAGTATGCATTTGTATATCTGTGTCTGGGAGGGCCAGGTGAAGTTCTAGACATTGGCAGAGATTGTGTGTATGTGTGTGTGTGTGTGTGTGTGTGTGTGTTTGTGTGTGTTTGTTTGTGTTTGTGTGTGTGCGTGTGTGTGTGTGTGAGTAAGTGTGTGTGTGTGTGTGTGTGTGTTTGTGCCTGTATGTGGCCCTGTCCTCTACACCATCTGTAAACCCCAGAAGAGAGAAAGAACAAGAGGTTTCTGTTAGCTTAACAATGAGCTTCTGTTTAAATTATTAACCAAATGAAGTCATCTGAACACACATACACACACACACACACACACACACACACACACACACACACACACACACACACACACACACACTCACTCACACAGTTTGTACATCAGTATTGAGAATGTGGCACTGAGCCTCTTTCTGAGTTTGAGTGAGGACATGGTTAGCATAGTTTATCTATGAAGAAGATTATTTATCTGTCATGCTAGCTTTTAGATTTAGTAGAGACAGGCAGGAAATATGGGAAACGTCAAAACCAGGGAAGCACAGACTGTAGTTGTCACAGTTTTTGAGTAAATTCCTCTATGTGTTGGAGTTAACCAAAAAGGAATCATGCTGATTAGCAAACTTTCAAGGCACTGGCTACGTTATTGAATTTTGCAAATAGGTAGGATGTTTCCATTCTGCCATCAGAAAAGTAAAGTTGAAGATGAGTCATTGACAACTCCAGAATCTAATCAGTTTTTTCAGAAACCTCATCATAGAACTGCAATGTCATTGCATAGTATACTACCAAATTAAGCTCAGTGTGGGAGTGGTGACACTCCCTCTGGGAATAATAAAGTCAGTCTAAGTCTAAGTGGCCTTTGCCAAGCTGTCACTGTTGAGCTTCCTTACAAGTTCCAATATGCCAAAAGGCAAAATTTCCACTTGTGGGATCAAAAAGGGTGTCCTTTATCTAGCTACCTAAAAAACAGGAATAAAAATCCTACTTACAGTAATAAACAAAAGTTTACATGCACTTAAAAAAGACCATGTTTGTCATGGCAGTCTTGAGTTCACCGCGACTCCTATGACTCTTAATTTTATTTAATGGTATGACTAAAACACATGCATCTTTGACAATCATGCATTTTCGTTTTTTGATAGATTTATTTAGGTCTTCTGAATGTATGACATAATCTGGGCGTCTTTGACAGTTATGCATTTTGTTTCGTTGATAGATTTATTCAGGTGTTCTGAAAGCATGACAAAATCTGGTCGGTCAAATATATCTATACAGCAATACTAACATTTGGTTTAAATGCCCTTTGGTCATTTTCACCTCAGGTAGGCAATTTTGTTTAGCGGGCCAAGGTCTGGTTGTATCTTTGATCACTCCTCTTGACATAATTGGTGCAGTTAAACCAAATTTGTTGCCTTCTGACACAGACTTGCTTCGTCATCATAAAATTAAGCCATTAAATTAGGACTTTACGTAGTGAAGTCTGTAAAACCATAATTCCAGCCTGTTTAGCCATTTCTTTACTCCTTTTGATGTGTGTTTGGTGTCATTGTCTTGTTGGAATACCCCACTGCAACCAAGACCTAACCTTCTGGTGGATTTAAGGTTTTCCTGAAGATTGTGGAGGTAATCGTAATTTCCCATTTATGTAATGTGAAGCACCAGTTTCACTGTCTCCAAAACAGCCCCAGAGTAGAACACTCTCTCTCTTCCAAATATGTTTCCAGTCATTGTGGCCAGATAGCTCAATGGTATTTTTACACAGCAGCCTCTCAGCTCACTTGACTGTGGACACTGACACCTGTGTTCCACCAGTTTGTGATAAGATAATTCAAGTTGCTGTATGTATATTTTTGACCCAGCAGGTTTTGTCCCATTTCCAAAGATCTATAATAAATTTATGAAAGAAACAAAATGCATGTTTGTGTTTCAATCATTTCATTATAGAAAACTAAAAGTTATAGGAGTCATTGGAAAGTCAAGACTGACATAATATACATGATCTTGTATACTTTTGTTCACCACTGTATGTGGTGCTGCTCTCCTCCAACTGCCATTGTAGCCGCTCCCTCCTCTCAATGATTTATTCAGCAGAGTTCAAACAGAGAAAGGTAACAGGTAAGACAAGCTAAATAATTCAATAAGGATCCAATAACAAAATGGTGAAGGCTGTTTTCCTGTTTGCATCACCATGATTGGAACATATAAGCCTGGGTGCTTTTTTTTTTTTAACACAAATGCTTTAAACTTTGTATGAAGATGAATGTTTTCATGACATGCTGTGTAAATTAGTTTGATGACTAAGATGGCATAGCATCACAGTATCATCGGAGCAAATCCAGACTGACAGTTTGCTGATTCCAAGATGAACCCTGATATCTCAGTGTCACTTGAGAAGCTGATTGTCAGTCTGCTGGTGCTGGTATTTATCCACACACGGCCATTCTCATTGCTAGTTCATCTGTGGCACTTGGTGAGGTTTGGCTGCTTTAGAGCATTTGCTAAAAAGTCATGGAAAACTTTTGGATGTATCAGGTAGAAAAGTATGAAGAGGAAAAAGCCAAACAGGAGCAACAGGAGCAACACCCTGAGCAACAGGATCAAGAGCAAAATGAGGTGTGGATGGTTCAAGTTTGTAAAGAATTTTTCCATTGTGTGTTGATGCTTTTTATTTATGGCAGTGGTAGTATCAGTTGTTTAAGGGGTCTTATGTGTGTGGATAATTCAGATATTACACAAAACTCTATACTACTATTTTATTAAGACCAATGTCTTATTTCAAACTCTTTTGTGGGTTAATGGTTCAACAATTTCCCTGAGGTTCGCACCAAAGGGATCAATAAAGTTCTATTTTATTCTAATGCAAAAGCTGAGAGTGGTGATAGTAGTTTGTTTTTTTTATTTTTTTACTTTTGTTTATTTATTTTTCTTCACTTAGGATTTCATGTATTCAGTTTGCAAAGTAATAGTACCATCTATCTATCTATCTATCTATCTATCTATCTATCTATCTATCTATCTACATATATATATATACATAGATAGATAGATACAGAGAGAGATAGAGATAGATAGATAGAGAGAGAGAGAGAGAGAGAGAGAGAGAGGGAGCGAGAGATAGCTGTGGTTCTAAATAGACCAAAGACCACACTTCCATATGGTTTGGTGCGCATTTAATAACCTTTTTAATAATTTTGTGCTGACTTCCAAGTGTGACACTCTCCTTTTCCCGAATGCCATCAATATCTGTTTGAAGTCCTTTATTACTGTCCTTAATTCACCTACAATCACCTTGACAGAGTACTGGTTTTTAAATCTCATCACAAAAGTACATCATGATGCCTATAAGTCAGAATTTTCTGTGGTTGAATCACTGAAACATTCACTTTTTTGTCACAAAAAACAAAACAAAACAATCATACATTTTGTTTTATTTTAGGTCTTCAAATATGACAAAATCTGCTGATCTCTTAACTTTTTGTGGGAGATAGCAATTGACTACAGCTGCTAACTTTTCAAGGCCAATTTAAAGAGGGCCCATCGGGTACATTCATTTGACTAGGTCACAAACACTAGAGTGGGAGAATTTAAAGAGATCAGCAAAGCTCTAGAAAAACAATTTATTGATTTAAACAGTTCAGAAAAATCTCTTGGAGCCACTTCAGCTGCACATCCCAAGAAGTGTTTGTCAAAGCACATGGTACAGTTGTGTCACTGCCATGATCAAGAAGAACACACAATCTGTCACCTGCTGCTGAGAGACAGATGGTCAAGATGGTCAAGAGTTAATCGAGAATTACCAACAAGTGGTCTGAAATGAATTACAGTCTGCTGAAACACAGACGTCAGTGTCCACAGTCAAGGGTGTTTTACATCGCCATGTACTGAGGGACTGCCTGAAGGAGGAAGTTCTTCCTCTAGAAGCGGCACCTTAAAGCTCAACTGAAGTTTGGTGCTGATCACATGGACAAAGAAAAGGTCTTAGGGAGGAAAGTTCTGTGGTCAGATGAAACACAAATTAAGCTACGTGCCCACAATGGCCAGAAACATGTTTGGAGGAGACAAGATGAGACCTTTAACCCCAAGAACACCAAACCTACTTTCTAGCATGATGGTGGTGGTATTCTGCTTTGATGCTGTTTTCGTGCCAGTGAAACTGGTGCTTTTCACAAAGTAAATGGATTAATGAAGATCAAAGATTACCTTCGCATTTGTCAGAAAAACCAAGAATTATCAGCCAGAGAGCTGGATCTTAGAAGCAGCTGGGTGTTCCAACAAGACGATAACCCCAAACACACATCAAGAATGGTCAAAAATGGCTAAATCAGGCTAGAATTAAGGTTTTAGACTGGCCTCCCAAAAGTCCTGACTTCCCTCTGACTTAACTCGATATGATAAAGTATTTGTCAGAAAGCCAACAACTTTAATAATAATAATTGATCAGATTTATATAGCGCTTTTCTAGACTCTCAAAGATGCTTTACACTGTTAATTATTCATTCACATACATTGGGAATGAATGTGGTAGCTATTCCGAATGTATGTGCCCTGGGGCAGACGCAAGGCTGCCATTCTGCAACTACCACCTCAAACAATCCATTCATACCAGGCAAGGTGTGTTTTCCCTAAGGACACAACAACGATGACACAGGTTACCGGGCGGAATTGAACCTCTGACCTTCCCATCATTGACCAACCTGCTCCACCACCTGAGCCACAGCCACCCCAAATTTAGATGAACTGTTTTAGTTACGTGGTCAAAAATACAACCAGAAGCTTGTGGATGGCTACCAGAAGTGCTTAACTGAGGTGAAAATGGTCACATATTAGTATTGCTGTATGCACATTTTTGACCCGGTAGATTTTGTCATATTTCCAGAAGACCTATAACAAATCTTCAAAGGAACCAAAACGCATGATTTTTTTTTTTTTTTTTGGTGAAAAAGACATGGGTTTCAGAGCTGTAGGAGTCATTGGACTGCCATGATAGACATAGTTTTGACTGGTGTATATAAACTTGAACAATGTTCGGTCATATGTGGTACCTACTGATGCAGTTACCTTGTCCAGCAGACGTGAGTTAAGTTGGGATTTTGTTTCTCCATGCAGTCTCCTGGTTCAGGCTCACCCTCTCCTCCAGGAGCAGAGTCATCCAGCAGACATCTGCTTCAGGATGACAGCTTTGAAGCATCTCCTTCCAGTAAAGAGGTGTGTTCAACATTTGACTTTTTTAAATTAGATATTCACTGTCTTATTTTCAGTTTTACATCAAGTTGAAGTTATGTTGGGAAAAGAAAATAACATTCTTGTATTTTTTTTATAGTCCAGGAGAAGCCTTGCATCCTTTCCCACATATGTAGAAGGTGAGTATAGAGGTTCCCCCCTAAAGAGGTATGCTTTACTGTTTAAAGTTGAAGGGAATGTACAGAGGGAGCTGCTGTGTGCAGTAAAAAAGGGGCAGGCGCATACTAATACTAAGAAAAAAAGTTGTTGGCTGCTGATTTGGCCCCTCAGACAGCAGGTTCATTGATGGCTGTGAAACACAGTTGATGGTGGACTTAAGCCATTTCTTTTAGACCTCAACAGAAGAAAGGCGTAATTGAATGATAAGATGACTGCCAGTCTGCTGGTGATTGTAAAATGTGACAAACAATAATAATATAATTGTAATTACTGCAACTGAATTAAGAGATATGTGAGAAAATGAATGGTAGAAAAAGGACGTCAAAACTGAAGCAAAGAATTTTGCTAAAAAAAAACGAGATTTGCTCGAACAATCAAGTGCATGAGAATAAACATGTCTGCAATTAACAAGATATTCAAATAGACGATAGAATTCCAAATGGAAATTTTAGTCAATTGTTGAATGATCAATAAATAAATAAATAAATAAAGAATAAATAAAGAGATGTTAAAAGAAAGAAAGAAAGAAAGAAAGAAAGAAAGAAAGAAAGAAAGAAAGAAAGAAAGAAAGAAAGAAAGAAAGAAAGAAAAATCATACATGCAGCAGAATTAAGGATTATGGAAAAGAAATATTCTAAAATTATTTGAATGGAATAAAAATCCTTTAAACTGAAATTGCAGATGTAACACAAAGATCTGATCTGTACCTAAACTTGTGAGGAAAAAATTGCAAAGGAAATATTTTTGAATTGATAAAGGATAGATAAAGAATCAAACAAATGTCCCAGGTTAATTTTAGTTAATTTTTGAAGACTACATCACCAAACAATGACTGCTTCATGTTACCTGCCCAACAAAAACATTTACATCATTATGCTAATGAAAATTTCACAATTTTTGTGGCGTTTCAGAAACATGTAAAGTACAAGTAAGTGTGAAAACAGCTGAAGACATAATTTTTTCCCTGTCAGCCTGAAAACATTTAAGAATGATTTAAAAGATGTTTGACAAACCTCAAATTGCAGCAGAAGACTAAAGGAGTTCAGAATCACTTTAGATTTCTTGAGTCACTCTATATTAAGGGTCACAAATAGCAACTGGACCAATCACAGAGTCCAATCACTATTTGTGAGTACAATTTTTTTGCAAAACAAATGCTGGACAGGGTGTGTGGAAGTTCAGTGTAAATATTTGCAAATGTGTATGTGTGGTTTCTGAAATGGGTGAAAATACAACAAAGTACGAGAAATGTAATATAAACAGGTACTGAAGAGACATGAATTTTAAGGGGCAATATGGCAATCAGATTACCTGAATGTATTTTCTGCTGTGCACAGGATTGCCACATTGTGGAAATGCTGCACAGTGTGGCCCACTTAATGTTCCACCGCTTTATCGAGTATCCCGTTTATATATATCCCGTTTCATAAAATATCGAAGTCCTGCATCATTTCCTATATAACCTATAGTGAAACAGCCCATTTATTGTCATAGAATAATGTCGTAATTCCAGTCTTTGTCATAACAACATTACTCGAAATTAATTCCAGGAATAACTTTTGCCCTTTTAAAGTCGTGGTCGGCCGATCGGTACGGCTCATGGGGCAAGGGTTGGTCATGCGTGGAAGATGATCACATCCTGGTCAGCCACGGAAGGCAGTGTGTTTGTTTGTTTGTCAGTTACCTGCTGGCCTGAGATTGGCTTCACTGAGTTATTCACACACTGACATTAATTAGGGAACATCAAAGAGAATCGCATTGCTGCAGAGCACTCATAACTGAACTGCTCAGCTAGTTAATCATGATAAGTTAATCCTCTGTATACCCTCTGATTAAAGGAAATAACTTTTATTGATGGGGTGGCTTTTCGGACTGACAAAGGTGAAAATTCACTGAGGCAAATCCATAAAGCTCCGTTTGAATCAACACTTCTTGGACTTCAAAGAAACTGTCCCGTTGGTCTTGTGAAAACAGTCCCATTTTGACTTTACGTATAGATCCCCATTTTTCATCACACAGACACAATATTCTCAGTGCTCTATCGTTGCGGACACTTTGATACACTAATCTAATGATAAATAAATAATAACTCTGTTTATTAGAATAACCCGGATATAGTCAGAATTCCATCCTCAACTGAGGGTATGATAATAAACGGGCAGCACTGTAGCACAATGGTGTCAGCTACTAACACCAAAGTTTTGCACTTAAGGAAATAGAAGGAATAGCTGCCAGCTAGAAACAGCAAACACTCATTAAGGAAGAAGAATGTATTGGTAAAAAAATAAATAAATAAAAAATGGACTCGGAGAAAAGGTGTGTAGAAGCCAATAATGTAAGAACAGCCAATAACGTAACAACGGCCGATAACGTGATAAATTTGCACTTTTTAAAATGTCATAGGCCAATAATGTAATCAAAGTCCTGAACCAATAACGTAATATCTTTTGTACTATAACGTAATAAGTTATTATGTTACTGGCCTGGTAAAAAAAAAAAAAATCTTTCTAAATGTAATAACCAGCCAATAACATAATAAGTTATTACGTTATTGGCTAGTTATTATGTTATTGGTTCAGGACTTTTATTACATTATTGGCCTATTACATTTTTTGGCCCCACTTTCAATCTGCATGAAACTTGTAAATCAATTGTTGGGTTTCTCTGTAGATTTTAAGGTCTTCACCTTACTGTGTAAAGTACCCTGTGAAAGTATCTTTTGTGATGAGGTGATATATACATAGAACTAAATTGAATAGAATGAACTCGTACTCTTAAAACAAAAATTAAATCGGCTTTGCTACCAAATTGTTTAGCGCATGAGGGCTGTGAATTAAATTGTGCAATGCTATGCTGTGCTATTAAGTACTTTTTCCATGAGCCCGCATATCGTTTGTCTTTCCTGAGGAACTTGCTCATAGTTCATGGTGAAATTGGTCATATATAAATGTGACTTGTCTTTCCTACCCCTGCAAAATGTGCACAAAGCAAATTGTTGTGGCTGAGATATCTGTTAGGAAGTTTATCTGTCTGTGGGTATTAATTGCACATTTGTAGAGCTGTGTGTATTTTCAGTCAGACATTTACATGGTAGGTACAGATGCTAATGGATTTTGGTAGTTTGCTAAAAATGTATAAACACTTACATGTCCCAAACAGGAGAGATCAACTGAGCAGTTGATCAAACTGTGAGTGAGACACAAGTTCAACTCCCTTTTTTTATTCAGTATAATTTTTATACCACTCTCATCACTTCAGTGCCTGGCCCCTGTGACCCAGAGGACCTGATTGATGGGATAATCTTTGCAGCCAACTACCTGGGCTCCACTCAACTGTTGTCGGACAAGACACCGTCCAAGAACATCCGCATGATGCAAGCACAGGAGGCTGTCAGCCGCATCAAGGTGAACACACACATAGCACACACGTCAACAAGCTCACAGAGTGTATTTACACACTAGTCTGAAGTTAGCAGATTGCACATATATTTTTACAAGCAAGCCAAGTCTCTTAAGGTTTAAGCTTAGTTAGATTGTTGTACTTTTTTGAACTGGTAACGCACAGTAATACCGGATACAACAGAAGCAAGTACATCCCTGTGCGATATTATCTAAATATCAAATGATTTCACCTTCCATCAGTTTTCAGTAACTGCATTTTTTTCTAAGTTGAACACAGAGGCCGTGAAATAGAAATTCAGTGCAACAACAGTGAATACACCTATGATCACTGAAACACATCTGAGAACACCTGTGATCTTTAATCAGCCTAACTGCATGACCATGGTTTATAATGAGCTTTGCTCTGTGTCTATCTGCATATCCGCATCGTAGCTCCAAATTGAAAAGAACTGGAACTGAAATATCTAATTATGTGACTTCACAAAAGTTGGAAAGAATACAGAAAGATCAGTGACCAGCTAAAAATCAGTCAAAACACAGTTGCAGGAGTAATCAGGAGGCATAGAATGAGCCATAGTACTGCTAATCAGAGCCGCAGTGGTCGCCCTACTACAATGACACTGTTGACAGTACACTACTTTTCTGGTCTACCTCTACAAACCAAATGAGCAGGTACTTCATTTGGCACAGGGGTTATCAATAGAAACTGGAGTTACTGTAGCAGCTCAGACAGTGTTGAGGACATTACGTAACATCATCTTTGATAGACTGCATTGCTTGCTCTTCAGTACAAAAGTGCAAGATTAAACATAGCTGAAATGCATGAAAGAAGCATGATGAATTGGGAACAGATTCTTTGGTCAGATGAGCCCATGATACATTAGTTTGACTCAGATGGGTCAAGTGTGAATACACCAAAATACAGGCTGACTTGAATCCCAAAGAACACCTTTGGGGTATTTTAAAATGAAAGGCATAATTCTACAACCCCTCCAGCAAAGAGCAGCTGAAAAATAGTGTCTGAAGAAAGACAGAACATCTCTCCAGTAGTGTGGTATTCTTCATGCTGAGGAGGATTGAGCCTGTCATTATAAATATAGGTGGACATACAAAGTACAAGTGAAGTTTAAATAAGAAAAAATAGCTTACTGTTCAATTTAGAATTGATCCACTCATCAAGAGGTTTTTTTTATTATTATTATTATTATTGTTAAACATGTGATATTGCAGAGGAGGAGGATTATATATATATATGTAATTAGAATTTAATTTTAATAATTTCCCTTAATTTTTTGTGTTATTTATTTTTAAAATATTAGTGTGTGAAAGTGTTTGGAAACAAAAATGCTATTGATCAAAATATTGCATGACAATTATTAATATAATACTCTGGGGGAAGAGGAGTATGTAGTTCCATTTAAAGCCATCTGAATTTAAATGCAGCACAATTGTATTCTTGATTACAACTTACAAAGTACAGAAACAGACTTTGCACATTCATGGGTTATGTCATGCTACGTTAAGGCAACTGTGTGCTAAAAGTGTATTTATTGCTCACAGTCTCACATTTTTCTTCCTAAAATAATTACAATTATATTACATTCAATTAAATAAGTTCATATAATATTTCAAATACATTGCATTACACATCAGTTGCTTTTGCAGAAAATGCAAGAAAACAAGGAACCTGTGAAACATAGTGTTACCCATTCTCTGTAAACAAGTATGCCTTTGTATGTACACTCATACTTGGTAAGTGTGAAGAAGAGTCGTAGCATGACTGACTGTCAGTAGATCTTTTTCAAGAAAAGATTTTACCGAGTCATAGCTTGTAAAGCAAAGATGTACCTGATTACATTAATGAGGGTTGTGTTCCATTTTGGTAATCCCTCTCAAGGCTGCTGATTCACATGATGTAATGGGACACTAGATAGGCCTGTGTTTTTCCTACTATAACAAATAAAATGTCTGCTGTGCATAGCAATTGAACAGCTAGTAAAAACTTACAAATGGATGCATTATGTGTTTGATAAAGCTCTGATTTGATTTGATAATATGTATCTTCATACAGTTTAGCTCAGTGAATGTCTATTGAGATATTCTGTTGCAATGTCCATGTGTTTATCTGTGACTGTTTCACTCCCCTCACCTCACCCTCCTAACCCTTGTTTAGTTCATAACTCACTATAATGCAGGATATTTGATTTTGTGATGTACTCACAGACCATTCAGTCAAAATCAAACACACATACACATGTACAGAGCAGTAATACATCCAGCATCTGCCACAGTGTCACAGCACTTCCAGGCCTACGCTGAGTTTTGAGTTGTGTATACTGTTAATCCTCACTGCTCTTCTTTTCGGGATTTTTTTAAAATGGTGAAAACATAAAAATGTGGTGGTAAATACACAAAACAGTCCATTTTTTCCCCCAGAAGATTGCTGCGCTTCAGAGTGACAGGAGAAACATATGGTGTGTGTTTGACCAGTCTCTTCAGCTTAGCTATTCCAACATTTGCTCCACACTTGTGTACCACAACAAGACAGTAATGAAGACTTCCTGGAAGTTAGATAGGTGACTCACCCCATGACCAATCTGTCAACTGTTAGCGGCGTTTCCATGGTAGCATGGTGCGCTATTTTCTTCTACTGTTTGTCCTCTAAACAGAAGTGTTTGCTTATCTATGACAATGGTATAACGTCTGGTGTGGTCATCCATCTAGTTTTGGATTTTCTCCTTAGAGTTAATTCTTTAAGTTATGAAACATGTTTCAGTAACTTTTAAAACATGACCAAGCTCCATCTAACATACCTACAGCCTGAGAGCATGCGTTTTGCAGGTTTAGCATTAGGAGGGCACAGTCGTAAACAAAAGTTTACATACACTTGTTAAGATCATGTATATCAATAGCGATCAAATGATTGCTATAATTCTTAATTTTTTAGGATGAAATTGTTGACACACATGCATCTTTGTCACAAAAAACAATCATGAATTTTTCATTCCTTTATAGATTTATTGTAGATCTGAAAATGTAACAAAATCTGTGGGGTCAAAAACACATACGTATATGTAAAAAGGTGTATTAATCTTTTTCTTTTGTGGCATGGTTTCTTACCTTCTTCTGAGTAATTACAGTTGACTACAGTTGACAGTTGCTGACTTTGCTGAGCCAAGTTAAATATTTAATATTTAATACACTCATCAGACTTGGCCACAAAAGCGACAATGACAAAGTCTTAGGAGGCTCAACACAGATCTTAAAAAGGAAATTATTGACTTGAACAAGTCAGGACAAGTCCACACTGTGGAACTGCAAATTCTCTATATGATCGAAGAGGGGTTGTCAAACTTTAAAAAATGTATTCCTAGAGCCACGAAGTGTATGTTGGATCATTTCAAGTTTACTGAAATGAAGAACCAAGCCTTGTAGTATGGGTGCAGACTGAATTCCAACAAAGTAGTATTAGCTGTCTAGCCAGTAATGTTAAGAGGGCCACAAGATCTGATTTGATTTTAGGAAAGGCCACAGTGGGTCACTATCTTTGATAGTGAGTAATCCTGGAGAGAGACAATTCTTTCGTAGCCCCAGGAAATGATATCTTTTGATGTGAGGGGAGGTAGCAAGAATGAATCGACGGGGAGATTTGTGGGCTGAGAAGGAAATTGGGAGGTAGTGTCCCATGTAAAACTGCGAACCTGTAGGTATCTAAAACAAAAGTGACGATTAGGGATATCAAATTTGATTGACAGCTGTTGGAAAGAGGCAAAGACACCTTCAATATACAAATCCTTAAATGACTTTATACCCAAAACACACAATGTGGAAAAGACTTTTTCTGCTAAAGAGGGAATGAAAGCATGATTCATGGCTTTTGGGGCCTGCAATGAAAACGACTGCCATCTAAAATGGCGTCTAAGTTGATTGCAGATTTTGAGAGTCGTCTTGACTAGAATGTTTTTGCAGCGCACTGAGCAGGCAGTTAGATCAGGGGTATAAATCAAGGCAGCCAATGAAGTTGGTTTACAGGAAGATACTTCTAATTGTAACCATGCCAGGGCAGGGTGTAAGGTATCAGCACACACCCAGACATGAAAGTTGGCCGCCCAGTAGTAGAAATTGAAATTTTGAAAGGCCATGCCCCCCAAGCAGAATACACTGAAATAGGAAAGCGAAGTTAGGCAGGATATTCATTTCTACTAAACTAACACGACCAGCTAAAGATAATGGAAGTAATGGCCACCTTTCAAAGTCCTGTTGTTCTTGACACTTCTCTTTAGAGAAGTGTGAAGTTGTGTTTGAAAAGATTCCTAAATTTATCAGTTACTTGAACCCCCAGGTATGTAAACTTGTCCAAAATAATTCTAAAAGGTGTTGTGTAAAGAGAATATTTACAAGCCGCAGTATTTAGAGGGAATAATTTGCTCTTATTAAAATTTAGCTTGTAGCCAGAGATGTGACCAAATGATTGAAGGGTCGAAAGCACAGCGGGCATAGATATATCCAGTCTAGATATGTAAAAAAGCAAATGGTCTGCATAAAGCAAGACCTTCTGCTTGATGCCCTCTCTGGTCACACCGGTGATGTCAGGGTTGAATCGGAGCGTAATGGCAAGGGGCTCTATAGCAACAGCAAAGAGAAGGGGGAATAACGGACATCCCTGTCTTGTAGCCCTAAAGAGTGGAAAGTAATCAGAGTGGTTGTTGATAGTTCGAACAGAGGCAAGTGGATGAGTATACAATAACTTAACCCAAGCTATGAACTTCTCGAAAAGTCAAACTTATCTAAGATGCGGAAAAGATAGCTCCACTCTACTCTTCCAAAAGCCTCCTCAGCATCGAAAGAAAGTATAATTTCAGGGTATTTCGATTCAGAGGGATTATACAAAACATTAAATAAACATCTGACATTCAAAAAGGCATGTCTATTCCTAATAAAGAACATCTGAGATATTGGACAGATGTTCTCCCAGTTTCTGCCGTAGCTTTCCACAGTTAAGG